CCCCATCTGGAGTCGATTCGATTGGAGGGGTAATACTAGTAGAGAGGCCTGCCTTTTCGTTAGTTTAAATTTTGTTATATTTCTTTAAGTTTGAAAGTTTTTTGTTTGTTTTGTTTTGATTTATCTTAAAGCCTATCTACACTAGTTTGACCAGGAGGGATTATACCTCTTGCGTGGTCACCGGCAGGTGGTTATCTTATCAAATCAGCTCTTAGGTAACATAAGAAACAGGGGATCATGGGTATCGATGGGTACCGCTAGGCATTATGGCTTTATTGGCTATATAGAGGGCGCATGTAGATACAAGTAGATCCGCTGTGGTTAAAAGTGTATTTTTTGCAAGAATAAATGTTAATTTTGCTTGTAGGCCTAATTTGAAATTCGGTGGCAATTAGGCAAAATGAAAATGTTCATGTCCCTTTCTTGTCTGAAATTGCTGGTCGGATGTACAATAGGGGGCATGATTCATTTCATTTCATTGTATTAAAATGTTGTGCCAGATTAGGATTTGCCAAGAGTACGTGTCTTCCGTGACCCCCCCCCCCCTCCCTCTCGCCCCGCCTACTCAAATACAAGTCACATGTGTTTTTTTTATAAATAAGAACAAAGGCAAATGGCCCCCTTATCGCAGAAATACGATTGTTCTTGTAGCTCGTATTCTTCCCTTTTTTGGGGGGGGGGGGGAGGAGAGGCTGCTGGGCCAGCGGGCTTGTATTCCTAACGGCTTAACATCAATGAATACCTGAAACCTATTTTGCCTTCCAGCTCATCCCAGCAACCTCGGGTCGTGGTGGTCACCGGGTGCTCATCAGGCATCGGGCTAGCCACGGCCAATCTCCTGGCCAAGGACAGTGAGAAGAGGTTCATCGTCTACGGATCAATTCTCGGCTCGCTCGACGAGGAGCAGACGTTCCGTGAAACAGCCGGCAACGCCCTCAACGATACCCTCTTCCTGTCCGACTTGACGTCACCAAGGATGAAGACGTCGAGGCGGCTGTTGCCATGGTGATGGAGCAACAAGGGCGCATCGATATCCTAGGTGTGAATTAATGTCGCAAAGACTTTCGAAAAAATTGACCGTAGGCTAGTTCTTAACTGTGCTGATAGAGCTCCCGAACATATTTAAAAATCAGTTTGTTAATAAGCTGGTTATCAAATTTCTTCTGTATGTGGATGAGGCTGGAGAAATTCCAAACGTTTGTGGATGTAACAACCATTGCCGTAGCGCCGGCCGTGCGGTCTAAACTATCTGAGGCCAATAGCAATTAAAGGCCGCCGCAGCATTCACAATACGGTAGCAGTCACAAAAATTTATGTTAGGATAACCGCACGGCGTATTTTGAATTTGTGGAGACAGAAAACCTACGACTGCCGTACGGCCTTTGAAGTGGGCACGGTCGTATTAGGGCGTCCCTGCGGCGGCCGTAGCTTTTGAAAAATCCTCAAGGCAGAGCAAGGTAGCCGCAAGTTGCCGCAATGATAGGGAATGATACGCCCTATAGGCCGCAAGTATCTCTCGATTTCGGGGGCTTACGGCCGCCGTATCCTAGCCATAGAGCAAATGTGACCTAGGCATTAATAGGGACTTAGATTTGCGCGGACTGATACGTGTGACGTCCATTCAAGCAGTGCATTAAAAGTACGTCGATCGTAGCAATCCCCATGTCTTCGTGCGAATCTAAAAGTCCCTACTGACGCCCTTGTCAACGACCACTGCCTATAAAACAATCAAAATATGTTACTAATTTAGTCCATACGTCCCGTGAGGGCCTCGATACAAATTGTCATTCACCTGTCACGAATAATTGTTTTTCTAAAGGATGCAAAATGCATATATTACGTTTTGTTAGGTAGGGCAAACCATAAAGTTTGTCCTACCTAGCAAAAAACTAATGTATGCAGTTGACACTCTACACCCCATTCACAGTGGCCTCAAACACCGCGACAGCAGCGGGACTGTCCCGCTGCTGTCGCGGTGTTGTCTTCAGTGTGAAGGCTCGGACCCGTTTTATAAACTATCGCGGGATAAACACCGCCTCGCGATAACGCCGCGACAACTATCGCTAGGCTCGCCTAGCTACAGCAGCGGGACAGTCCCGCTGCTGTCGCGGGTTTACTCAGTGGAAGGCTCTCCGCTATAACACCGCGACAAACACGTGTGATTTGTTTACTTACCTATCACTGACCTCTTTTCTCCAGCAATGGGGAACATAAAGTGAAATAGAAATAAAGTAACCAGTGGATTCAAATGATTATTATTATGTAGATTTATAATTATCAAATAAAATATTTCACACTTCAAAAAATTAAAATATTCTGACTGGAAGCAATAAAAATGCTAGTTTTTTAAAAAGTAATATGATCGAGGATACAAAAAGCAACTTGACATGTTTACCCTAAAACCCCGCGCTGAAGTATTTCCGGTCATATCGGGGTCACTCGCGGGTCATGAGCCATGCATACACGTGTTTGTTACAGAGGTAATAAAAATCACCCGCTGCAGCGTGAATGGGTACATGATATTTATCCCGCTGCTGCAGCGGGATAACTTTCTACTGTGAATGCATTTGTAGCGGTGTTATGGCGGTGTCGCCGCTCCGCTACAACGCCGCTACAAATTTCAAAACCACTGTGAATGGGGTATTACTCTAGTGAGATACACTAATACCCATTCACAGTGGCCTCAAACACCGCGACAGCAGCGGGACTGTCCCGCTGCTGTCGCGGTGTTGTCTTCAGTGTGAAGGCTCGGACCCGTATTAAACTATCGCGGGATAACACCGCCTCGCGATAACGCCGCGACAAACTATTGCTAGGTTCGCCTAGGTTACACGCGCAGCAGCAGCGGGACAGTCCCGCTGCTGTCGCGGTGTTACTCAGTGTGAAGGTTCTCCGCTATAACACCGCGACAAAAACGTGTGATTGTACTTACCTATCACTGACCTCTTTTCTCCAGCAATGGGGAACATATAAAGTGAAATAGAAATAAAGTAACCAGTGGATTCAAATGATTTATTATTATGTAGATATTATAATTATCCAAATAAAAATATTTCACACTTCAAAAAATTCAAATATTCTGACTGGAAGCATTAAAAATGCAGTTTTTAAAAAGTAATATGATCGCGCGCAATTTCAAGCAATCGAAAACCCCGCGCTGAAGTATTTCGGTCATATCGGGGTCACTCGCAGGTCATGAGCCATGCATACACGTGTTTGTTACGGAGGTAATAAAAATCACCCGCGCAGCGTGAATGGGTACATGATATTTATCCCGCTGCTGCAGCGGGATAGCTTTCTAACTGTGAATGCATTGTAGCGGTGTTATGGCGGTGTCGCCGCTCCGCTACAACGCCGCTACAAATTTCAAAACCACTGTGAATGGGGTATTATTAGTAAAAGGCGAATGGAATAGTTCAAATCGAGGCACTTCACATGTTTGATACATTTCGAAAATCTCTATTCTAGTGAACAACGCCGGAATCTGTACAAAGAAAGCTTTGGAGACGATCAGCATGAGCGACATTCTTCGGCTCTATGACATCAACCTGTTCGGCTATCTTCGGATGATGAGAGCGGTCCTGCCGATCATGAAGAAACAGGAATCGGGAAGGATTATCAATATGTCAAGTAGAAATGCAATTGAAGGTATGTTCGAACAGGAGAAGCAATGGATTTTAATACCCGGAGATTTTGCTCCGTTTAATTATAGAAGGTTGACTGTTCCAGAGTTTTAAACGACCTTTATTTCGCAGAAAACGAAAAATATAGTGCGTCTTACATGTAATTCACTCTTTTTAATACTTCCAGAGAGGCATTACTAAATTATACTCCGTGACTCTAAAGCCCCTTTCACACCGGATCTGTATAAAGTTGCGTAGTGAGGCGTACCGACTACGCCGAAATTAGGCTGCGTATTCATGAACAAAATGTTGCTTCCGCGTAGGCTGGCGTACGATGGTGCATGGTTACGTACCTTGTGCATAGGCACCGCGTACAACGCGTACGATTGCGTATAACAAACGTAGGGTTGCGTACGTTTAGTAGGCCTGGCATACATGTTACGGTTGCGTACGGTTGCTTACTGTGTGCGCAAGCCTTTACTGCTTTGTCGTACTGGCGGAGGGTAGCTACTATTGCGTAGGCTTGGCGTACGGTAGCGTAGTGTTGCGGTTACTTGCGTACAAAGTGCGTACTTGCTACGTCTAGTGTCTACGCCGAAAGTACGCCATATGTTCAATATTTTGCGTCCATCTTGCGTACCCTTTGCGTCCCTCGGCGTATAGTTACGTACTTGTAACAGAAAATTAAGCCCGGTCATGTCTTAAAATGAAAATAATTAGTCAATTTTTTTTTGGTGGAAGGAGAAGTTGACTCCAAGAAGGAGACAAAGACCTTTATGAATTGGGACAACCTCGTGTATGGGTAGACGGATGCAGTAGTCGTACTCCCAAAACCATCCAGTGATCATAGACATTTTAAGTGTATCTACACATTATGATTTTTAATTCATTTTTTTTATTTATCTACTACGGTAAAAACTCACTTCAGCCTTACGACTGTTCTCATGAAGTATGTGAGTGGTCTTTTTTGTTTGTTTTTGTAATATGATTTTTATGGTCTTGATATTCGGTTTCGATTTAAGTTTCAGCGAAGTTTCTCGTCAGTAGTAAATAAATATTGTGTCGTTCAACACACTTGTATTGCAGGAGCTCCGTATATGAATATCTACACTTCATCCAAATTCGCCATTGAAGGTTTAAGCGAGGAGACGGCAGTAATTGGACGATTCTTCAATATATGGTTCGTATATCGGACTCTTTTATTTTCAAACATGTATTTTGTTTTTAATGCAATCGTTATTTAAGCACAATTGATGCTTACTCAAGCTAATGCCTGGATTGCATTTGGCCTCCGATTGGTCTACGGATGCCCGTATCCTGCCCGTATTCCCTTTTCGTACGGGCTCCGTGCGGAGGAGGCGGCGGCGGTGGTGAGATTTCGTACGGATTCACGGGCTCCGCAACCTCTACGATATTGTTTCGCGAGAAGTTATACAAGTTTGAAAAATCGTAAGCCCGTAGCCCGTAGACATGTCGTAGGTAGCATTGCACAATCCCCGCACGGGCATCGCGCGGAGGTCTGGCGCTGATCGTGCATATATACTTGGGACTCGGATGCTCAAAAACGGCACGACGGCGGCACGTTCACCGTACCTTATCCACGCAGACTCTGTGCAGATTTGCCCCGGCCTGCCCCTGAGGGCCGATTCAATGAATGGCACGATGCTTCAAGATGATGTAAACAAAAAACATCGTAGCCGTAGTCCTACGATGCCCCCCAAAACGCACGGAAAATCATGAACTAATTTATCGTACGGCGCCCGGGCAAATGTAATCCAGGAATTAGCGTTCCCTTCTGTCGATTTACTTTTAACTACTTTCGCTTCACGAATCACGAAAATAATTGTACGGAAAGTAAATCAGAGATTTCCATATGTTTTTTTTTTTTAATAATTAGTTTTGGTTAAGGTAAGAATGCACTCATCACTATTCTTCTATAACTTAATTATAATAAAAAATTACTCTATTTTGCACACGTCTTGTTATTGTGATTATGTATAAAGTTGTAAATAATCTGAGCTTCAAATTAGGCTCTGTAATATAGACTACGATTATATCAAGAAAATAGGGGAGAAGTCAAATATATTAAGAAAAAGGTAGGATTGTGTTAACGAGAAAGTAATATCATAAGAAAAAAACGACAAGTGTCATTTTAAACTGACTGATGAAATGAAAATATTTAAACAACCCTGTATATAAAGTCCATCGTCTATCTTTGTTAAGGGTCAGTTTAATTCAGCCGGGCGGCGTCATCTCGCCCATCGGGAGACACCATGATTGCCAATGATCTCGGTGGTGTGGGGTCAAAGGGCATTTCAGATCACCCGGATGTGCACGAGATAGATCGCAAGTTGAGCATGTACCGCGACCACGACTTGGAGTGGTCCAAATGCCCATCGATGACGGCCGAGGATGTGGCGCATGTAGTCCTTCGCGCTGCCACCGACGTCAAGCCGCACTTCCGATACCAACCTCAAGAGGTAGGCCCTATACATGTACTTAAATTTTAATATATAGAGATGATATCGGGGTAATTCAAGAGAAAAGAGCAAATATTTTTGTTAAAGCTTTAAGTTTAACACTTCGCTTAAAAACTATAGAAATACTGAGTAAAGCTTTGATACATTGCCAAGAATGGTCAACAAAATCGATACAACATTAATAGATCTGTTTAAAGAAAATAAGGACTAGGTATGAAGATTAAAGGTAAATGTTAGAATATTAATATTTAAACGATCGTATCCAACGAATTAATAAAACGTTTGAAAATTCTTGAATTCACTGTTTTTTTAACTTTTCATTGGAGGGGGTTTGTAGTCATGAATACTGACATTGTCATCTCTTAACTTTTAATCGAGTTATTCTTCATCCAACTAAATATAACGATTTTTGTACGGAGTAAATGAGATGAATAGGTTTATATTGTACTTTATAATTTCATATCCTTTTAGGCCGTCGCGGCATTGGCGGAGCGAAAGTACCGGGATCCTACCGGGGATGAGTTTATTGATTACTCGGCCGATAGATTGAGACCATTTTATGGTAAGGCTGGAGATAAGTAAGTCCATGGATGGTAGGGGCCATGGTAAGACTAACCTGTCGTTCGACTTCTAACAGTGCCAGCTCATTGAAAGATTATTCTGTCAGGTACTTTTGAGTCTTCCTCTTCCTTTTCACTTGTTATACTGCCGATGTTTTATTTTCCATTTATACGGTTTCTATATACCAAAGATGCAATAATCATAGAAAGAGAATTATGTGCAAATTGTTTTCGTGATGGTTTATAGTTAAACAAACAAAAATTATAGTGAACATTTGTGACACGCTATTTCTATCAAAAGTGACACACCTGACACAATTGTGAGAACTTTTGTAAGTTTTTTTTAGTTCCAGATCATATTTTGATTGAAACTTGTTTCCGAATGTGCTAATGTTGTCGGCGGAAAAAAAAAACCTCAATACTTCCAGATAGGTAAAGAATAATGATAATGAATGAAAGATCATATTTTGTGTTTATAAAGAGCCAAGTATTACTTGTGACAGGAATGAAATGACTGCAAACTCACTAATATTGAGCTTACTTTTCATTATTTGCCAACGAAATTGTGTAAGTGAAGGATGTACTAGCACTTTTTGTGACAGGCGAATAACGTATAAATTCTCAGATCTACAGCATGCCCACTGTTATATTCAATGCGTTTTCTGGTATGAATCAGAGTTGTGCAAGTTATCTAATGCCTTTGTAATTGAAAAAAAAAAAATTCTGAATAAAAAATTGCCTGATAAATATAACAAATGATTGGCAATTTGATTGCTCACAGGTTCATATATATATATATATATATATATATTAATGTATACATATGTTTTAAAAAGGTCATCAGATTTTCAAATTTTTGCAGAAGCAAAACAAATGGTAAATATTTCGGATTTTCTGACTCACGCTGAAATATTTTTGCGACTAGCACCCCCCCCCCCCCCCCAAAAAAAAAAAAAAAAAAAAAAATTAAAAAAATTTGTAATCTTTACAGATACAAATCAGCCTTAACTATTCCAATGACAATTTTTGTTTTGATGGGGGCGGGGAATGGGTCACACTTCCCTCTTCGATGTCTAATGAAGCTTTTGTTGACGTAGCATGTGTAAGCTCATTCCATTAGATACACTAGTAATATACGAATCATTTTACTTTTTGTCTCCTCATTTCTTTCTTTCTTTATATATATTCCTTTCTTTCTTTCTTTCTCTCTCATCTCGCATCACGACTCATTCCTCTCTTTCTAATCTCTTCTTTTTAACTCACTCCTCTGTCTGTCTCTCTTCTCTCTCTCTCCCTCTCTGCATCTTTCATTCTCTCAGTCATTTTCCTTATTTAAAATATGCACGTATTGGTGAATTTAGCCAGTAAGAATTTATTGTTGTATATTTTGTAATCTATACGTGTATAATACATGTACTGAAATTTTTGCTGAAAGCAAAAAATTTTCGCTGCTTTTTATCTTTTTAATTATGCATCCGTGTTTATATGCTCGCTTGTACTTTCAAATGAAAATGAAAAAGGTTCAATAGTGATCCAGCATTAATTGTTGGTACAAACATTGTGTCAAATAAAAATACAAATGATTACAATTATGCCTCCAATTATTCTTTGTTTTATACCTCATTTTGCAACATAGTATTGGAAAATCATCTTATCTATGAACACTGGGGTTTTATATTTGTAGTTTGACTACGGAATGCAAATAACACATACTAGTTTACAAATTGCTACTTAAGTTCGTTATGATAACTTTTTAAAAGAGTGATAATATAGATACAAGACAATACAGAAATATTGAGGGAATCATTCTTTTTTCTACGTCAGTAAAATTTTTGCATCAGCGACTTGTGCGGGTCTTTAAAGGTAATACAAAGTTTTGGTACGAGGTCATGAATTTGGTTCAAATGAACATTATTGGAAGCATATGCGATCCTACAATATTCAGTGATCGTTGTCGCGATTGAAATCGAGTCTAAGGTTATGAAATTGTAAATAATACACTCTTTATGTTGTATAGCTCCCTCTCAAGGTCAAGATATTATTTAAGCTATAAAACAACGTTTCTTGACCTAAATCGACCGATTAGCTAATCCTGTTTAGAAATTATATATCACAACTACATATTCTGCGATTTTCATGGTCGCAGCTACCATTGTACGGCCGTAGGCGCTATTTGAAATTTATCAAAATTTACCGAGAGCACCGGTAAATTGTTATATTCCATTTTTCTCGAAAGCAGAAGTGTTTAAGGGTCTAAATTTTGTAAAACTTATAATACATCCACAGGGGCATCCAAATATATAAAAATTGTAAAAAGTCACTATCCACCCAATTTTCAAAATTTCCCAAAACTTTGTATTACCTTTAACGTTCACGAAAGAGTGGAGAGTGGCATCGTACTTGGTATTAATGCAAATGAACTTTGGCATTGCACACATTGTGTTGGCGCATGCGATAATTACTGGTGCATGCGATAATATGCCGCCATGGTAGAATTATTGGTGCCGGTAATAACGCAATCAAAATGACACCTCGCGCGCAACAGGTTAATGAGACTACTTTCTGCTTGACGGAACCGCTTATCCTTTTCACACGTTACGCTTTTCCAAAACAATGTTGTAGTCGAGTGGACCGTAAGCGAGTCCAGCCTTGCCCTCCATACCGACAGCAAGACTGTCGTCTGCTAGACGAAGTGTGAATCTCTGGAGTAGACTTGTGAAGATGATGAAGAGCTGCATCCTGGCCAGCTTTTCACCAAGACACACACGGAGACCTTGATGGTGAGAATGACCAAACAAATAAACAATAAATAGGACTGGGGGCGTTTCACAAAACTTAACATCAGTGACGAATGACAGTTTCTGTTATAAGCTACTGAAATCCCTGCTTCTGATTGGTTATCGACAGATTTTTTACTGATTCTTTTGTCATTTTCCATTGAAAAAAGGCTTTGTAAAACGCGTACCTGATCTAGCCAAAAAAACAAATTTGGGGTCATATAGCGCTTAAAACATCGACGATGTCTCTAAACGCTTTACATAAATATTATTACCCTGGTCATCGGATTCAGGCTTGCCCGCACACAATGTATGCACATTCTCCACTTCCTGGGAAGCATTCTAGCCAGGCGCCATTTTACAGACGCTCACTATAATGAGAAAACTACAAAAACATTCGCATCCTATCGGGTGGAGAGTGGCAAAGGTGGATCTTGCCAAAGGACGTCCTTTTAGTACTGGACTGGGATTCGAACCTCAACCCTTGGATTAAGAGTCGAGTGAATGATCTACTAAACCACGACACCTCTTCATACTGTTATCGGTCCAGGTTTTGGAAACAAGATTAATACTCCTACCTCGGTCTTTTTTTTTGGGGGGGGGGGGTGTATTTTTAGTCTTGCGTCGGTCTCGGCGATGTGATCGAGGTATTTGCAGAATGTGGCTGATTGTATAGATTACTTTTTTCATGGGACATAATTATATCCAAATATCTCGAAGAAAATTTATTTGAGAGGTTCGAAAAGCCCTGATAACCGAAGTATTAAGCACATAATAAATCTGTACTTACTTTAATTTACCAACTATAAAGTGAGAAAGATTTAATGACCACTGCCCCACTTACGATTCTGAAAAAGTGGCGAAAAAATAAATAAATAAATAGAATACTAGGTAACGCTGTACATATACCCTGAATTGAGTTCCCCTGTGTACCCCTGCCCCACCCCCCTCGAAAAAAAAAATCAATACGCCTTTTCGGGGCGTTCCTTGTCTTTGATAATCGCCAAATATTGTGCAAAATACAGATAATCTTTTCAGTCGTATTGTATTTACTTCTCACCTATCCCGAATGGGTTGAGAGCGCGGTGACTCACGATGGTCTTACGGTCCTCACTCAAGAACCGATATGGGTTGAATTTATCAGGCTCCTTCCAGTACTTTGGACTGGTTTGCAGCTCCCACAAGTTCATCAAAACAGCTGGCGAAAAAATGATAAAACGTCAAAATTGATGAACGTGCGGAAAACTGATACAATACTACTAAATCTCTTGACGTGTCTTAACGATGTTTTCTTAGAAACCACTTAAGAACATCTTACACGATGATTTTCTTTACGCTTTATTCACGAACAAAATCTCGTGTACATTCCGTATAAACACAGGTAATTTCTTCTCTTGTAGACATTTTGGGTAAACATATTAGGCTACATTTATTTCTCGGTAAGACAGCCTACATGATACCTCATTCACTCCAACGAAAACGACACTAGACTGACAACAGTCCGATAAGACCGTTACAATGCCTTGGTCGCTTTGGAGTCCGTCTGAGGTTGGTTTGGCAGTACGTGATTGTGACTAAAGCCTTGGTCACAAATGTCGTTACGAACTGTTACGAACGCCGTACGAACGATTTTCAGACATTGGAAATTCGGGAAGGCAATGGAAAAACAGGGAGATTCGTACGAAATTATCGTTCGTACGAACCTTTGTGACCGTAGCATAAAGCCTCGGTCACAAATGCCATTAGGAACTGCTACGAACGCCGTACGAACGATTTTCAGACAATGGAAATTCGTACGAAATTATCGTTCGTACGAACATTTGTGACCGTTAGGTCAGGGATATGTGAGATGCATTTAACACCTAAAACAAAAAGTGGGCTTACGTACCCCCCCCCCCCCCACACACACACACAAACACACGACATATCACCTGAAAACGTGTCACAGGAAAACATGTGAATCAACTACAGAACATGCAGAAGTGGACACTTCGGGAAGAACTGTGACGTCCCTGTGTATCGTATTTCTCATGCCCAGTGCACACAAGGTGTCATTTCGATTGCGTTATTACTTGCGCTAATCAACCCTGTGAAGCCAATCATCATCGGCTTTTAATCGACAGCAATGGATGCACTGTTCATTTTGCAGTCGTTTCTTGGACGAAACCACCATCGCATGGTGCGTCAAAGACTGTCCCTGACGCCGTCCTACGTCAGGCATATTAGGGACTTTTAGATTTGCATGTTGACATAGTGGACTGCAACGTGTGACATCCTTTTAATAGCAGTCCACTATATCGACGAGTCCACTATATCGACGAGCAAATCTAAAAGTCCTTACTGACGCTTCGTGCGCACGAGCTATAAGATGAACTTACTCGTATTCTTTGGAATATGGTACCCCTGTACAACAGCGTCCCTGGATGTGCAGCGGGGAACTCCCAAAGGGACCACCGGGCGAATTCGTGTTATTTCTAACATCGTCGCTCCAGTGAGGGGCATCAAACTCTGATCCGAAAACTTGGGTGATCGCCCTCCTATGACGTCATCAATCTCCTTTTGGACCTATTACCATTACCACATTGAGTAAGAAAAAAAAAATATACATGGACCCGTATTTTTGAAAGCGGCCGATGTTCATCCTTGTTTAACTAGTCCACTGACATAATTATGGAAGGTGTCTTTTGGTATTCTGCACAAAGGATGGATAACATATCTGTGCACTTAGGTTTGGTTTTAACGTGGCCCAATGTTAGGTCCATCGGCACCGTTATATGCCGATAACAAACAATCTAAGGAGACCGTTTAAGTTTAAACATAAAATTATACAAGTAAATAATCGGAATGCCATGACTTGTGGGTTACTATCATACTATGATATGATGATGGTTGTGGTTCACTGCCAGAGCCATCTTTGCACTGAGTTTTGCCAACTTGGTTTCACTTGGTCAACACATGGCGTATAATAATATTCTTAAGTTTTGTGCTTGCCCAACAAAGCAGTATTCGCCTTATTGAGCCCCGCGCTCGAACCGGGTTAGCCAAGCTCGATGCCCCAAACAAGAAAAGTTAGGATTGTGTACATAGGTATTTCCACTACATTTGATCCGATACGTCCATCCAGGCCAGCCTCACCGAGGCTAACTTTAAGTTGGTTTGT